AATGTGCATTTCCGTTAGACAAAGATAACAAAAGAAACATTTGGGAGATTATTTTAAACAATATAAATTGGTTAGATAATTTACAATAGGAAATTTATTTGATTATATATTTGTATGGTTGGAGTCTCGCGAGTAAAAATTCGCGACAGAAGTGAAGGATTCTGAGCATCAAAATCATTTTACAAAAGTATATGAACTGGGTTTGTTGATTGGTCAGCACTTGAAGGAGACTGAAGTTCTGTGCTAGCCTGCATCACAGCAAGACTACCATCGTTTCCCACATCATCGTAGGTGAATCAGAGCTCTAATCAGACCAGTAATTCAACTATACAGGTGGAATCATGATATCGGATGCTAAGATCGGGAAAGAGATTGACAACAAGTTAATAAAGGTAGATAGAGCTTCCGGAGAACTTCAACAAAGATTCTGGTGCGTAAAGAGTTAAAGACAAGTATAAAGATTAATGCATATAAAACCACTGTACTACCTATTCTTTTATATGAGTCCGAATCATCGGTCATTTACCGCCACTATTTGGATTCCTCGAATGTTTCCACCAGCGCTGCTTTCTTATGATCCTAAACATGCACTGACTGCTTGACTAATGTTGCTGTTCTTTAAGAGGCAAGGGTCACCAGTATTGTGGCCATACTATTGAGGAGATGACACATCTTCAGGATATAGGATAATCACATCCCTAAAATTGCGCTTTACGGCGAACTCGTCACTGGTTTCCGTAAAAGAACTCTAAAGAGAAGATACAGGGATTCCCTGAAACAATACCTCAGCTTTGGCCAACTAGACTACTATTGATAGTCCACGCTGACCTCGAACTGGGTGACATAGAAAGACATGATCCATAGGATTGTTACTTCCTTTGGAAACATTACCCTTGAGAAGATAACGCTGAAAGAAAACCGTATCTCGCCAATACCGCTTAAGGAAGCTTTCGACTGTGTTTTTTGCAACCGGATTTGCCGATTCCGCATTGGGGTTTAGAGCAAGTTTCACATATCTTTGTTCACGAACTCTAACCACAGTACCTCATGAAACAATGAGAATATCGGTTTGGAGTCTGAAATCGAATTTGTTCTAGAAATTGGCATTTTGTAATCGAGAAATTACAATTCTGGAAATTCTTGAAATTACCAATTTTTAAGAAAATACTAGAAATTTAAACGAGAAATTTACATTTACGCCATGAATGTCAAACAGATATTAAAATATTTCTTGGATTAAATTTATTCAGAATTAGTTGCAAAGTTGTAAAATGAAGATAGCCATGGAATACTGGGCAAGAAAAAACTATGTGTACCTTTGACCTCTGTATTGTAATGAATTTATTTTGGCTACTGCCTAATCGATTATTTCTTTTTAGAAATACACTGTTCTACTTTTGATTGCTGTAAAATTCACTTCGGCTATTGTAAATTCATCTTCATTAGTGTCAATTTATTCTGGCTACTGTCAATTTACTCGATTACTGTAAATTCACTTTAGCTAATGTGAATTCACTTTGTTTATTATAAATTCATATTCATTAGTGTCAATTCATTCTGGCTATTGTCAATTTACTCGATTACTGTAAATTCACTTTGATCACATATAGAAGCAACAAAATATCAAAATGAGCCGATAAATTTGCAGAAAAACATTAAACAAAATATCAGATTAACCAAAATCGCTTGGCGATTTATTACTTGGCGGTTATTGCAGGCTTATTAATGGATGTCATTGCATTTTGACAGTTATCGTATGCTGGATCATTTTTCACTGTGCAAGAAATTTGATCAGGTATTTGGCGCTTCCTGAAAATTGATTTCCGTTACTTCTACTTTGGATCCTGGAGAATGAATTTCATTAAAAAGTTATATTGATATTACAAAGCAACTAATCGGAAAATGATTTAATTTTACCTAATCCTTCTAATTTTGTCACAAGTTTTCAATTCCTTCACTTTTCGACCAACATATTTGAGGACATAATCTCCTATACCGTCACATCGTTTCACCATATCTTTGGATGATGACCAAATGATAGTACCTTGTACACCCATAACAAAGGCTGTATTCAGTGAATGGGATAAGTCTTCCTGAAAATTTGGTAATTGAAACTTTTGATATAATTAGACGGAAAGTACAAATCTAAGATATTTCAAATATAATGACAGATTATAATGCAAAATCGGATATTGCATGTATAAATTTGTAAAATCTGGTTTGCGTTTTGATTTTTTTTTTTTAAATGAGAAATTTGACTTGAGTATAATATGGATTAGTAGATTCCAATGGAAAGTACTCAATGCCATTGAAGGTGAATATCGGTATTGACAAGTTCTCTGCACAACGTTTAGCTTCTTGAAGGACGGAAGTGACGTACAAACAACCAGTACGACCACTATTTCGGCTTGGCAAATAAATGGATGGATAAAAAGCGGTAGCTTCAGCATACAGAGGTTGTAATCTGCATAACTTTTTCAAATTTTTTTATTTAAAAAATTGATGAAATAAATTTTGAAGGAATGAAGTAAAAACAGAATGTTGCAAATGTAATAAACAACGAAGTATAAATGAGGAATATGCAAATTATTTTTTAGAAAAAATTATTATAAAAAATTTGCAAAAATGAAATAAATTACGTGACGGTATTATCTGTTGAAGGCAATATTTCATGTAATCTTAAATTTTCCTTGAAATTTCATTCCTAACCAGAAATATTTATGCTAACCGATTATTGAATTCTTCAAATACTTCGCCGCATCCTACAGTGCCATTTTTTCCTGCACTGTAATTGCAAAATGGCATGCCATAAAATCCCCATAAGGCATTTGGTCTCATTTTTTTTGCTTCACGAATAGTTTCCGTTAAAAATTTCCTAAAGTACAGCTGTTCACTAATTTGAACTGAACATCGTCGACAAATAAAATTTTCGTTTTAAATGTCCTACAGTAACCTAAAAAATTATTTGCTTTTTTCGGTTCAAAGGTTGAAAAGCAGATAATTTACTCACATTGCTGCCTGATTGAATTCTTGTTTAGCCAGTTCATCACCTTTGGTTAAGTTTTTCCTGTATTTTTGTATTGTTCCTCAACATAAGCCAGAGATGCATTACGGTAAATCCGTTTCGTATACCAGTTATGTTCCCAAAGTGGTCTCCAATCTTCGTAATCGATTATTGCCAAACCATCGAAATTCGTATTCGGTATCTCTTTGTCTATATCACTGCGAACTTTCGACAAATGCGCTGAAAGATTTGCGCGCTGCAAAATGGAATTAATTTCATTGAAACAGAAAATGAATGAATTAAAATTGAATTGAAAAAATTTGATATTCTATTGGAGAGAAATCTATGAAATTACATTGATATATCCTCAATAAACAACTAAATATGGTTGTATACCGAAGAATGATTCAATCTATCATCAAAACTGATTCTCAAAAAGTAGACTTTATTATGTATGT